TGCCAGAAGAACAAACAAATCTGTTTTGGAAAAAGTACATCCAGAATGCTCCTTAGAAACGAGGATGGCGAGACTTCATCTCACGTACTTTGGAGAAGGACATCGTGCTTGGTAAAGTAGAGGGTCAGCAAAAAAGAGGAATGACCTCAATGGGCTGGATTGACACAGTGGCTATAACAATGGGCTCAAACATAGCAACGATTGTGAGGATGGTGCAGGACTGGAAAGTGTTTCGTTTTGTGGTACATAGGACCTCTATGAGTCAGAACTGACTCGACAGCACCTAACAACATCAGTGAGTGTGGGGTTTTTGGTGTGATAGTACTTGCGTTTTAGGTTTTGTTGTTGCTTTTTTTCAAAATGACACAGAATATGTTTAATACGTTAAATGAGAGAACTGAAAATATATTAAACTTTCAGTCTGAAATCATTGGGAGGTTCATTTTTATGTTTTAGTAGAGGAGAATGAAAAAAATACATTTTTGGTTGTTTTGATTATTATGGTTTGATAGTCTCATACAGCTCTTATTGGTTTTATATTTGAAGGTATAATTTATGTGAATTATACCCAGGCTCATTCTTACAATTTTAAATTCGGTTTTCATGCCAAGTTCCATGTTATTTTCTCAAGGACTGGCTTACAGGGTTGATTGTTTAATTTGTGACCTGATCACATTTAATTCCTTGAATGAGAAAGTCTTTACTTAGGAAGGCTCCTTGCCAGCCTGGCATTGTCTTAAGTCTGGTTCTTCTTGTTACTGACCCTGCAGCAACCACCTTCCACCTTACTTTAACAGGCTTTGTCATCCTAAGCAAGACCAGGCAGTGTGACTTTAAGGACACTGTGGAGGTGAAGGAATGGGAGTGTGACCATCCATGTGTAAAAGACCTCAGCACTACAGAGTGGGGAAAGGAAACACCAGCTTAGCCAAGTGAGAACTGTTTACTAGAGATGGGGCCAAATTTGGCCAGGGAACTAGTGCCTGAGTACTTCCTCTTTCTGAGGCTTTCAAGGTTTTAAGAAATCTGACTACATATTACATACCCAATCTTATTCCCCAAGACTCTCTTTATTTTGGCCTGTATCTTAAATGTCCTGCAAACATATAATGCCTGATTGCTGAGGCACTTTTGGTGAATATCTTGGAATCAAACGTTTTACTATTAACACACACACACACACACACACACACACACACACATATTTATGTTTTAGCTTCCCTTCCTATCTAAAACGTAAGCTTACTGAAATAGGAAGAATATCTTATGTTTCTTTTTATCTTACAAAATACCCAGTTCAGTGATGGGCATAAAGAAACTAGGTGTTAATTAAATATAGGTTGATTATTCAAATTATCTTATCTTTCTTTGTGAGCTAAGCTGTTGGCCATAGTGTTAGGGATAAACCAAAACCAAAAACCTGTTGCCATCGAGTCAATTCTGACTCATAGCGACCCTATGGGACAGAGTAGAACTGCCCCATAGGGTTTCCAAGGAGCACCTGGTAGATTCAAACTGCTGACCTTTTGGTTAGCAGCCGTAGCTCTTAACCACTACGCCACCAGGTTTCCGGTGTTAGGGATACTGAAGTCTAATTTCAGCTACTGTGTCATTGAGTTCTCGTGTGTTATTAAAAATGCCCAAATATAAAATGGTTATGGTCTTGATTTTACGAAGACGGTACTCTATTTATCATGAACTAATATTAGGAAACATAATAATAGTGCAGCTGGATCATAACTGACAGCTTCATTTCTAGGTAAACTATTGAATCTCTTAAAAAATTCAGGAATTACTTAGTTAACTTGGAAAAGTAAGTTTATTGAAGCATAGAAACAATTGGAGCAAAGTTGTCATTTCAACTTTTTCAAGAGCATTCTAATAAGAGAAGAAGAGGATGGCAGGAAAATTGGCTACTCATCTATTCCTGGACTGAAACTTTTCCCTGAAGCTATCCAGAAAGATGACTAGATGGATACAATTTCTTCATTCGTGTCCTTCTTGAGTCCTTCTTTGAAAGACACTCTTGTTGATCTAGAAACTGCTTACTTTAATTTTACTTCAGAAATGTTGCTGACTTGAGATGAGACGACCTTGCCATCCACCACTTCCTCTATGATGGTCTTAGTCACTCTAGTCTTGCTTGGATCTGAAAGTCATGTAATCACAGTGTCAGTTTGGAAACCATCACAGAAACACAGAGCCAGAGAAGTTCAAGTGCATATTCATTAACTATGTTTTCTCTGGGTAAGATTCTGTAAACAACAGAATATACTCAATATGACAAACAAAGCATGCCTTTACTTTTAACTTATGAAAGTATTATCCCACCTCTTCCTTGACCAGAAGAGCTTCCAGATCCTGAGTCACCACCAGATACTGAACCCCTGGATCCTGTATTTCTGGACCCTGAGTTTCTAAAATCGGATCCTCCAAAACAAGAATCACTGGAGAAAAAAGAGAATTATTTATCTTTTCCTTTACTGTTTGCAAAAGCAGGATAAAACTATCATGCACGCAGTTCTTCATGATGAAGCGTTAGATGTCTTTTCATTGGACTGTGTCATGGTTACTTTATAAATACGAGTCCAGCCTCTGAGCCCCTTTTTGTTTTCATCGAGTAAATCCACCCAGGTATGCATTTTAGCTGTTTATGATTTTCATTTACCCTCCTTCTCCATCGAGCAGGCGGCGGTAGGTCTCGATCTCCATCTCCAGGCGGGTCTTGATGTTCAGCAGCTGCTCATATTCTGTGTTCTGGCACTCGGTCTCGCCCCGAATCTGGCAGATCTGCTCCTCCAGGCTGCTGATTTGCATCTGTATTTCTGACAGCTGAGCCACGTAGCCTGCTTCTGTGTCAGCCAGGGTTCCTTCCAGGGAGCTTTTCTAAGGGACGAAGAGCAAAAAAAAAGGAAAAAAACTCACGATGGAAATAAGTCATTGGATGATATTTTAAAAATACAATTTTACATAGTACTAGGAGAGATCTTTTCAGTCTCGTTTACTGAGTTACAACCTATATTGTCATATCATTGCTTCTTTACATTTTTGTTGGCATTCCTTTTTTTTATAAGCAAATCTTTTATAGAAAGACAGCACGTATCTTTAACTGGAAAGTCTTATGCTTTCTACTAGTACAGCTCCCCCTTAACACTGCTTTTATTATGTGCCCAGTGGAACATGTTGGCAAAGGAAGAAAAAACTGTATTTGCATAATTTCCTGTTGGAGATTTTGAAAAGCTGTTTGTACGTACCATGGCAAGTTGGGACTGAAGCTCAATTTCCAGGGCTTGCAGCGTACGTCTCAGTTCTGTTATCTCATTCTTGGCAGAACTGGCCTCCCCAGCATCAGCAGAGATCTGGGCTTGCAGCGATGCACTCTATAAAGAAAAATAAGATGCACTCATCGTAGACTGATGAGACAAGCAGAAGTGGCTTGTGTGTGGCTGCAGACTCAGAGACTTGGTGGTGATAATCTACCCGTTTGTTGAATTGGTCCTCGGCCTCCCGGTGGTTTTGCTCAGCCAGCTCCTCGTACTGCGCCCTCATGTCATTCAGTAATTTGGTCAGGTCGGTTCCTGGGGCGGCATTCATTTCTACAGTCACATCACCTCCAGAGCTGCCTTGCATACTCTTCATTTCCTAACATGAAGGAAAAAAGACCATAGTGATGAAGATAGAAAAGCTTTAGCTTCTAAAATGTGCATAACCAACCCAAAATTGAAACTACCACTGTGAAGAAAAAAATAAACAACTTCACATATATTGCTCATTATTACTTTTTTTCCCCCGATCACAAGATGTTGGAAATCTGTTCAGATAGAATTGGTTTAAAAAAATTTTTTTTACATAAAAGATACGGGGGAAATATCTAGGCCAGAGTTTAACGATGTGAAATGTGCTCCTACCTCCTCGTGGTTCTTCTTCAGGTAGGCCAGCTCCTCAGTGAGGCTCTCGATCTGCATCTCCAGGTCAGAGCGAGTCATGGTCAGATCGTCAAGGACATTCCGCAGGCCGTTGATGTCGGCCTCCACACTCTGCCGGAGAAACAGCTCGTTCTCATACCTGGAAGGGGCAGCAGTACGACAGTCTGGTGAGCTGTCCTGGCCACACTTAAAAGAATATATTCCATTCTTAGATATTGAAGAAAAGTTTTTCTCCTCTGAACACTGTGATAAATGAAGGCTACAAGTTTCTCTTAGGAATTTTTCCCTCATAAGGAAAAATATGTGCTAATGCTAATTCTAATCATGTCCAATAAATTTTACAACAAAATTCTCATCCTTAATTTACCTGTTTTTTTATTTGTTGATGGAATAATGATTTCTAAAGTTTTCCTTGGGATATTTGCGAATTTAAGTCATGATTCTCAAAGTTTTTTTTTTTTTTTTTGTTTAGAATAAAGCTGATTTAATTTTTATTTTTCCTACAATATTTTTTACTTGTTTTCAAGTCTTCATTTTTCTTACTTCAGTCTGAAGTCATCAGCAGCCAGCCTGGCGTTGTCAATTTGCAAAATGATGCCAGCATTTTCCGTAGTGGCAGTAATGATCTAGAAAAGACAACAATAGTGAATAAATCAGGTTTTTTTTTTTTACCTTGTTTCTGCATGCCTGCCTGTAAGGGTAGATGTTCCCTGTGTTATTTGCTTTTAAGGGTGAATTGCTGTGCAAACCCATTTGGTGACGGCGCTTGTATTGATAATCTTGGTGTATGCAGGACTACATCTTTCTGCAAAAAGGTAACAGTTCTACATTTACTGGAAAAAGCAGAGAACATTATTTTACAGAACACAGCACTCTGCATATGCCTGCTGTCTTGGGATATCAGTTATTCCACGAGCTGTTTTAAAAATGGTGCAAATATTGAATTTCACTTAAAAGTTTCTAAAAATGTATTTTCCAGGTAGCAGTGGCTAACATTTTAGATTCCACTGCATCCTTATACAATATTTGCATTAGATTTTCTAGGAAGAAAAGATAGTCTCAAAGATTATGTAAATCTAGCAAGATACTACAATATGTCAACCTGCCAGAATTAATCATAAAATAATTAGATTAAATGAATGTTGACTCATTGGCATCATTCTCACATACACATGTTAATTAGCTGCCTGGCGTTGTTTATATTTTATTCTTATGTATAAATACTCAAATGAGATGCAAAATGAAAATTAGTGTGATTGGATGTCATGTACAGTACTGTTATAGTTAAAATACATATAATCCGTTGCTCTTGAGTTGATTCCAACTCATAACGACCCTATAGAACAGAGTAGAGCTGCCCCATAGAGTTTCCAAAGAGCGCATGGTGGATTTGCACTGCCGATCTTTTGGTCAGCAGCCGTAGCTCTTAACCACCACGCCACCAGGGCTTCTAAAATACAAATACAGCAAGCAAATATGTTTTCAAATAATTCCTTGATTTAAAATTTTCATTACAATATATGATCTGAATAAAAGTGAAAAACACAAAAGTAATAGAAACTCAGCAATGTATAATTTCTCACCTGATTCCTTAGATCTTCAATTATTGGGTAGTACTTGCTGTAATCCCTTCCAGATGCACCATCTCCAGACCCAGGCCCAAATTTGTCATACCACTCCTTGATTTTGTTCTCCAGGTCAGTGTTGGCCTCCGCCAGGGCTCTGACTTTGTCTAGGTAATTGGCCAGGCGGTCATTGAGGTTCTGCATGGTTTGCTTTTCACTTCCAGAGAAAAGTCCCCCATCACCAACACCACCACCCATACCACCACCATAGCGATAGAAACCTCCGCTAGCAACATCGCGGAATCCAGAACTCCCGCCAAAACCAGAACCACCACCAAAGACAGCCCCAGAGCCTGAGGCTCCTCCAAAACCGCCTCGTACTGAGCAGCTACCAAAGCCCACTCCAGAGCTGCCTCCAAAGCCACCACCACACCCCCCACTCAGGCCACAGCTACTGGCTCCTTCTTGGAAGCCCCAGGCAGAGCCGCCCCCTAGGCCGCATCTGCTTCCACCACTGAAGCTGCTCCCACCAGCGGACACCCTGACAGAGCTGCTGCCCCCAGCCCTGAAGGAGGAGATGTGAGATGAGCAAGACATGGTGCTCTCCAACGTTTAGCTTGTCCGGGTGAACAGGAGAGGTGATAGAGAGGGAAGAGTGTGCTCGTAGGCTGCTTTTTTGGCTCTTACATACACACTTTTAGGGTGTTCCTCTTCTGTGTCTCTTCTTAATCCCTGTTACAGTTTTGCTAATCTATAATTGAATAATTTCTTTTTTGTGAGCCCACTTTACTGGCTCTTTTTCTGAAGCTGGGTCAGAGCCCTGGGGCCTTTACTATATCATGAAGAAGAAGAAAAACAAAGGTGGAGCAAAGCAAGATATTTTTTTTTCAGAATGCCAGTTTTAATCTTTCAGAGGTTTTGATGACTGATAATTTGTTTCTGAAAGAGTAATTCTCTTAAATTTGCTTCACGATTTCCCAATTGCAGGGAACACCCCCCGGATTAACAAATGTTAATTAATATAGTGCATGATTTTTGATTAGAAGGAAAACCAAATACTGAAAGGTTTGGTACATTGTCTCTGATGAATCTTTAAAGAGTTGAGAAAACTCAGGGCTTCTATCTTCTGTTCATTCCAAAGAATATTCTGTTACGTGTTTTTCAAATAAAGGCATTCTATCAGAGTAGTTAAGGGAATGTTGGGGAAATGGTCTGTCTCTACGCCTCCTATCCAGGCTGCCTAAGTAAAGGACTTGGGTCCAGAGCATTCTCTGATAAGGAGGCTGGGAACTGGGTGGCCTTCTCTCTCCTGGTTCCTTCTCCTTATCAGAGAAGATGTCCCCCTGTCCTGGGCACACGGTAACTTTCACTGTGTCTTGCACCACATGGCACCTGGCTAACCCCACTTCTATATCTATTCCCGGTGGGGAAGGAACGAGGTCTCTCATACTATGGCACAAGAGGGGAAATGTGCCAGACTGTAAGAGCCGGCTTCAAGGGGTGGACTGAAGGGGAAACAGGCTTTGTGTGTCCAAACGTGAGCGCCCTCTTGTCGTCTGCTAGTTCACTACTGTTTGCTGAGTCATTCTTATATAAGCCCCTGACTTGTAGCCACTATTGTCCACCACCACTATAAAACCTCTGCCCTCCCACTGCAGAGCACGGAGACATGCTTTGGTTCTGTAGCACCCAGGACTTGGCTTTGTATGTAAGTCTCCCTGATAAACTCCTTCGCCACCACACTGGAGTTGGCTATTTCTTTCTTCGGTTTCTCGGTACCCTCCGTTTTTGGAGGCAAATTTCACATTACTGGTCCATGCCTGGACAATTGGTGAGCCAGCCAGGAGACTGAGGAAATGGTGAGTGGGAGCGAGGCCCCTGCGGGGGAAATCCTGGGCTGGCCAGCGACCTCCACGTGGGGAGGTCTGGCCCGTAAGCTTGATGTGTGTGAACCACCACGTGAGTGCAAGGATGCCCTGAAAATGCTAAGCAGCATACCCTAGTTGTGGGAAGACGCACACCCTGATAAGTGTGGAAAAGCAGCTAGGAGAACATTAGTGGCCATGGGGTAGCCACTGCTCTAGGTTGTTCAGCTGGCCACCAAAGCCCAGCTGGCTGCTGAAGCGTGCCTAAGAGCTTCACAGAAAGAGTTACCGGTGGAAAGTGATGTGCAGCAGTTGTGTGTGGCCCCCACTGACAGATTGAGCAGCAATGTCTGTGGACAGGATGAGCCACTAGAAATGCTCACCTGCAGGTTTGTAAAGATGAGAGAGTCAGAGGTTAGGGGAACAATCCCCTAGCCATTGCTCAAAGCCCTCCAACAATGAGACTGGAGATAGGTGGAGGAGTTAAGCAGGTTCCTGGTGCAGAGAACACCCTGTAACATCCAGTGCAAAGCAAAAGTTAAAACAGGGAAAAAAAAAAAAAAAGAGGAGCAAAAAGCCGTTCAAGATAGCTTGTGTTGAGTGGCCTTGAAGAGACTTTAGAGGCCTTCTCTGGAATTCCCCAATAACTGTCCCCACCAAGATAACCGGGTAACAACATAGTCGCAGCTGCAATCGTAAGGGGAAAACTTAAATAGGACAGACTGCCTCCATGTTACCAGGCAACTGGGCTGAACCCATGCTTGCACTTGGTATGGTGAAGGCATGGCTCTACAAATGACCGAGCGCTGTGCCAACTTTGACCAAATGTTCTGACTTTCATAAATAATTAAGACTGAAGATTAAGCCTAGATCCCTCTGTCACCAGGGAGAGACAAAGGTACTATGTTACAGTTAAAGTTCAATGAGGAAATGAAAAGAATTGTGTGTCTTGGGTTTCTAGCTACCAATACACAGGTGACTGTGATCTCTATAACACCTAGCACCAAAATGAGGAAAACTTTTAGTTCTGAGATCATCATCACTAAGACACTTGCCCAAGTCTAACTACAAGTAGGTCCCTTCGTGGGCCCTACAAACCCTCACTGTATGTATTGATAACATTGATGTATTAATGCACACCTTTGTAAACTTTTGCCTTCCAGCCTTGATGGCAATTGCTGCAGTTAAGGCCATTTTAGGGGACACACAGAAACTGTGACATGGGCTATAGCTAATAGCTAGGCCGTTCAATCTGGCCACCGACAACCCTCAGACTGACATATACAGCAAGCCTGTATGGCGATGAGACATCTGGACCGAAAAAAAAAAAAAAAAAAAAAAATCAGTTCTACTCCTGATAAGCTTTTGTTACTTGTGTGGATGATAACCAGAAAGGCCCGTAGGCTGAGAGGAAAACAACCGATGAGCAGACAACTCTTGCCAACTGACTACAAAGGCTGAAGTACCCTCTGCTCCAGAGCACAAGAGATGGGCAACCGATCACCTCCTGGATTTAAGAGAGGATGGCCCACGGAGATTCATACACCACCCTAGACTTGGCCGACGGGCATGGACTGTTACTGTCATCAGAACATGCCGAACAGCATAGAAAAGCTGACCTGCCTACGAAACCCTGGCCAAGGCTAAAACTTGCCCAGGAACAGATTCCCAAGCCAACAGGCCAGGGCGTTCTTGGCAGGTAAATCATATCCTATACAGAGGCTTCCACTGGATCTTGAATGAACTCTTCACGCTCTATATCACCGCTAAGCCAGAGGGGCAATTAAGCACATCAATGGACAGGCTTAAATGGCTGATGGGAGAGAACAAGACAAGCAGTCTCAGGTCTCAATGCAGCAGTTCCCTACAAAAGCATTTCTCATTTGCCCCATTTGTTTAATCAAACTGTCTATTCTATAAAACGTGTGTATTTCTTTTGTATACAACTGTTTCTGACAAAAGATCTGGGTTCTCACAGAGGTCACTGCCTCATAACTAGGACAGACAGCCTGGGTGGCTATACCAGGGCAACCCTTCACCTCAAGTCCCACTGGAGATAGGAAAGGGGAGGGGGGGAATTGTTAACGTTGTCTCTTTTTCTTCCCAGATTATCTCAAAACGATGGACAGGCCCCTCATCGATGGGCCCCAGTGATGCAGGCTTTTGCTAGAGCTACCCATCAGACCAACTGTTGGCTGTGCAACATTTAAACCGACATGATAAGTCATCTCCCCATGTCGTTCCAGCTGATCTGGTCCACCTTGTGGACCAACTGAATGTGTAACCTGGTGTGCGGAGGAGATCGTGTGGTAAATGAGTACAGTCGACTCCACTACTTGTGGAAAACATCTTTTGAAACATGAAAGCTGGCTGTGGGGAGTGTTCCAACTTCAGAAGGAAATTTCTGTGTGTTCAAAATGTAAATGACACAGGACTAGATGGTTGGACTCTGAGAATGGTACTTTTAAGACTGAGTTGGATGTTACTCTGGATATGGAGAACCTGCAGAACATGACCAGGTGGTTCCAATGTATATTCACTGACTACACCAAGTCAGAATTAACCTGGTCTGACAATGGTAATACCGCCTTCAACTGTGCTGAGAAAGGGGGCTTTGGTATTACTTGTACTGAATTGTGTGCTGTTCACATAATGTGCCATGTTGGGAGAAATATGCTGTATTTACATAAATGGGTCATGACATGTTGTACATACATAAGACTGGACAAATGCAGCCCTTTGACCTATTCATTTGGCTTAGAATAAGCCACAGCTGGGATGACTGTTTGGAATCTCTTCTCCAAGCGTACCTGATCAGTCTGCTGGGGACATTCCTACTAGTAATGCTCATTAAATACTGCCTGTAATGATTACACAGATATAGCATTCACCAGAGTTATGCAGCAAACCATGTACATGCGGCTCAATGTCCAGAATGGGCAATGGGTATACCAAGACTTTGTACTGCTTTGCTTCATTTTTCTGGCACCCTGATGGGAGTTGGGGAGTGGACTCTTGGGGAAATGGTCTGCCTCTACACCTCCCATCCAGGCTGTCTAAGGAAAGGACTTGGGCCCAGAGCATTCTCTGATAAGGAGGCTGAGAATTGGGTCACTTTCTCTCTCCCGGTTCCTTCTCCTCATCAGAGAAGATTTCCCCCTGTCCTGGGCACACAGTAACTTTCTCTCTCTCTTGCACATGCGCAGGTACCACACGGCACCTGGCCAACCCAACTTCTATGTCTGTTCCAGGTAGGGAAGGAACAGGGACTCACATACTATGCACAGGAGGGGAAATGTGCCAGACTGTAAGAGCCGGCCTCAAGGGGTGAACTGGGGGGAAACAGGCTTTGTGTGTCTGAATGTGAGCACCCTCATGTGGTCTGCTAGTTCACTACTGTTTGCTGAGTCATTCTTATATAAGCCCCTGACTTGTAGCCACTATTATTGTCCACCACTATAAAACCTCTGCCCTCCCACTGCAGAGCACGGAGATATGCTTTGGTTCTGTAGCATCCAGGACTTGGCCTTGTATGTAAGTCTCCCTAATAAACTCCTTCGCCACCACACTGGAGTTGCCCTCCTCATTCTTCGGCCTCTTGCACAGGGAGACACAATAACTTTCGCGAACGGATATAGAAATGGGGTTGGCCAGGTGTCGTGTGGTGCCTGTGCATGCGCAAGAGACAGAGGAAGTTATTGTGTTGGGACAGGGAAGTAACTGAGCATAGAG